AAACATTCTAGCGGCATTCATGACTACCAGCCAGGCGAATTTCACGAGGGTGGACCAGAACATAACCTCACTGAAGGCAGGCCTGAGGAACCAGGGGGCCATTTTGCATGATTAACAGAACCAGGTTGGTGCCATAGCCCGCCAAATTAATACCCGGACCCCGGGAACACTGCCTGCCACTACCATCCCCAATCCACGGGAGCCGCACCAGCAGCTGGATGCCATTTTAACCAGAAGCGGTAAGACCATATCCGCTGATCCTGTCCCGACCAGGCATGGGGAACCACTACCTGTTTCAGCACTTCCAGCCGACGATGCAGAAGTGCGGGTGGAGAAGGAAGCCCCTGCTCCCAAGCCACAAACAGTGGTTAAGGAGCATGTGCCCCAGCTTCCCTTCCCCACTCGCCTACAGAAAGACAAGCTGGAGACTGAGTTTGCCAAGTTTATGGCAATGTTGAAGCAGCTCAACATCAGCATACCGTTTGTGGAGGCACTGTCGAAGATGCCCAAGTACGCAAAGTTCATGAAAGATTTCCTCACCAACAAGAAGAAACTTTGGGATCTCTCGAAAGTGCTGCTGAGCGAGGAGTGTTCTGCTATCCTGCAGAACAAGCTGCCCGAAAAGCGCAAGGACCAGGGAGTTTTACTATCCCTCTTACTATTGGCAGCATGCATGTAGGCAAGTCCTTGGCGGACCTAGGCGCTAGCATTAATGTCATGCCATATAAGTTGTTTAAAAAGCTAGACCTAAGTGAACTTAGCCCTACTAGGATGAGCATTCAGCTAGCTGATCGTTCCGTTGTGCATCCTAGGGGTATCATAGAGGATCTGCTTGTTAATGTGGGTGCATTCACATATCCTGTTGACTTTGTTATTCTGGACATAAATGAGGATGTGGATGTGTCTTTGATTCTGGGTAGACCATTTCTTTCCACCGCCAAGGCACTTATTGATGTGCATGACGGTAAACTGATCCTGCGTGCTGGGAATGAACAAGCTACTTTTTTTGTGACTGAATTCGATCACTGTGCTATGACTGCTGTCACACCTGTGCATGCCATTTCTGACCAGGTACACGAGCCTGTCGTGTCTCCTTCTGCATCTCTCATTTTGTAGGATCCTCCTCTCACTCCTTCGCCGCCACTCCTTCCAGCCTCGCCTCCGAACAAAAAGATCAAGGAGGAGTGGCGGCCGAAGCCGCAGGTGGCTAAGCCTGCTCGGAAGAAATATGGAGACCACTATGAGCCGTTTCCACCCCCTGCACCGCGTCCACCCTGGCCATCCGAGTACTCACTCGCTTGCATCCTGCCGGATGGCCGGGTCGAGCTGACCAATGCTGGTGGTTGCACCCGTCGGGTGCATGGCCACCATCTGAAGCTGTACCTAAAGAGCGATGTGGATCCGCTCTTGGAGGCACCTGTTCCTGCACCCCTCTGAGTATCCACCATGGGCGTCCAGCTACAAGACGGTAAAGAAGCGCTTATGGGGAGGCAACCCCACCACAGTTTTCATTTTTCCTTTTGTTTTGGGTCGGATTGCAAATTGGTTTGGTTTTGGTTTGTTTTCTTTTGTTTTGGACGATGTAATATTGGGCTGACCATTGGACCTAACGTATTGTGTTTGAGTTCTTTTGTTCCCTTTAGTTGTGCCTGTGTCCCCGACTGGTTCTTTCTCCAGTCTGCTTCACTCATACTGGTCCGCTTCCAGTCTTATGCAGTCTTAGAAGACCAGTTGACCTCGTAAGCTGCTATATGATCTAGGAAATCCTCTACCGACGATCGGGGTTGTGTGTTGCTATAGAGGTCTGGAGAGCTGCATTGGTTTGAGTTAGGTTTGCTTGGGGACAAGCAAACGGTTAAGTGTGGGGGATTTGATGACTCGATATTTGCACATGTTTTCCCCTTTGTTTCTTGATCGTTTAAGCTTGCATTATCGCTTCTTTGGCCTATTTTAAGCATAGGCGCAAGTTTCAAGTCAATCAGAGATCATTTGGCGATTCGGGAGAAGAAACTCGAGCATGACCTGAAGAAGAATGGATTTCTACCTCACTTTATGGACAAAGAATCATGCAAGCTTCTCGTGAAAAGAAAGAGGAGGAGACTACGAGCGTCTGGGATCAAACGGCGACTGATTCGGAGTCCGGACGAGGGAGAAACGAAGCATTGAATATAGGGGAACATGTTCGGCAGTAAAAACACGGGCACGCCTAAATCAAAACACGGCCGTGTTCCTGGACCGTGTTTTTACTGCCGAGGCTTGATCCAAGATTGTCCTACACTGACTCAAAACACGGGCAGGCAAAACCAAAGCACGGTCGTGCCCTCGACCGTGTTTTGCCCAGGGTCAGCCTTTTTAGGCAGATTTGAGCCAAAGGAGAAGGGGTTCCGAGTTTTAGAGAGATAGAGAAATTCCTAGAGAGAGAAAGCGACGAACCAGAGTTCCCAAGTGCCCTAGCTTGATCTTCATCACCAATGGAGCCCGGCTTGAGCTTGGAGGAGTGCCAATTGACAACCAGGAGCAGAAACTCATCCTTCGCAGTATGATTTCCGCATCTGAATCTGCTTTTGCTTCTCTCTCCATGGAGTAGTTTTCTCATTCATCTGGGTATGGAGAACCCTAGATTTGTATGTTAGGTCTGATTGTATGAACCCAAGTACAGCTTTTCTGATTTGATTATATTCGATTGAGGCATGAATGATTGTATGACTTGAATCCTGATCAAATTCCTATTGTTTTTGCTTTAACCTAGAAAGAGAATATCTGCCTAGGTTGATAGAGCACCCTTAATTGAAGGTAGTGAATTGGCGACTTTAGTCGAGGAGGACTCTTTCACCTATAATAAATAGTGTAGAGATGTGGATAGATATTGGTGGATTTTCTTGGAGGACTCTTTCTTCGGGAGTGTCGTTAAATAGTTGAATTTTGTTTCTGGTTGTATAATCTTTACGACAGTTTTGCGGTCTGTCAACTAGACTGCTCACATAGTGTCGCTTAAATTCCTGTTATTGTCTCTTCTAGAGTTAGTTTCCCGTGACTACGTAGGATGGCTTTATGAATGTGATGATTTGGGAGGATTCCTGGGTAGAGGTTTATTTAATATTTTTCTATCGTGTTTTACTTGGGCAAGGTTGTCAACCCGCGAGTCGATCCACTTTGACCTTGACCCGGTGAGAAAAACGGGTCGCACGCACCCGCCAGGTCGACCACTACAAGTTATCGGGTTGGAGGTCAAATTGTGTCATTTTTTTATTTGGTTTGCGAAATGCACCTATTTTCTTATTTTTCTTTTCGCCTAACTCAATCTTTGGAATCCTTAGTTGAACATTTGAATATTGATGTTATATAAGAGTGTGTAAATTTTCACTATATGTTAGATCTAAGTACGACATGCTACTTTGGTGTAATGTTATATGTTATTACTCTTATGTTAGATGAGATTTGATATAATTTATCAGGATAAGGACAATATAATGACTATTTCCATAGTTCCGGGCTAAAATGGGCTAAAACGGGTGACCCGTTAACCGTTGACCCACTAGCTCGACCGGATCCGGGTCAACCCGCGGGTTGACAACCTTGACTTGGGGAATAACCCAACTTGTTTTGTGTTTTAATATTATACCGAAAATGAACCTCATTAGAATTATTATTGAAAAGTTTAATAGTCCAGATTAAGGACTCAACAATACAAAATATGATCATTTAGGCATTGGATGAGCCTTCAAACTTAAACTCTATTGATTATTAATTGTAATAGTACTTGATTAATCTTTCCAAAGGTTAAGCATGTTGACAATATGGAATAGCCCTAACATGTTTGTGCTGTCACATGTGCAAGTTATTTTCACTGTTCTTCTCTGACAATCTAACAAAGTCTTCTTGGTTAGACCCTTTGCTGCAAAGCTTTGCTTCAATTGATTTATGTTTGAAATTTGAAAATGGTAAATTTTCTTCTGCCTCCTTGCTAAGTGAGACTCTTTTCTCATCTCCATGTCCACTTTCAATTTTTCAAAATGATCTACCGTCCTCAAAACATAGTAAAAAAAAAAAACAGAACAAAGGTAGATAAAAGAAATTTTGCAGCTAACAATATATAAGAAGAGCACTTCAACTATGCTATATAGTATTGGTGCTTTAATGTATAACTTGAAGTTGTACTATAATATTAAATGTATAAGTTTAGATTGTACCATAAAGAAATTTGTATCATTATGTTATGGTACAACTTTACAACTTGAAGTTGTACCATCACATAAAAGTATAAGTTCAAGTTGTACCATAAAAGAATTTGTACAAAAAATATAGGTACAATCTAGATACAACTTCAAGTTGTACCATAAAGCAAAAACCTGTAGCACCAATGCTATATAGCATTGTAAAATTCATCTATACAAGAATACAAAAACTCGAAATATTAGACTCAAATACCAATCAAACTGCATCACGAACAAATATATCGTCAACACGAGAAACCGTGTCACAACTCTTCTCAATCTCAGTTTTGATATTATCGATCCCCAGAGACGACCCTTGTGAACCATCTGATAAGCTATGATCTCTGCAGTATAGGAGAGGACAGCTCTCCTAGTAGTAACCGATTTACAAATCTGGTCCAGGTTCTAGCAAGCAAGAAAAGAGGCACAACCCTATTCTCTGGACAGCCATTCTTCTCCCCTTTGCTGGCAGCTAACTGAAAAAACAGTTCAAATCATACTCAAAAGTAACTAACTGGATGAAACATAACTGATCATTACATCAGTTTGAACTGCTTTTTCTGACACATTGTGGAACGTAAAACATGAATGTTCCCCATCCCAACTCCCAAGCATATTCTGCATGTAAATTGTGCAAGTCACAATCACAATGTTATGAACTCCTCCTTACCTTCCCTTTCCTATAGACTTCAAACAAATGTACCAACACACAGCATAATTAATCTCTAATCTTCTCCCTCCTTCATCTCCTCATAGCCGAAAACAGAAGCAAGCAACTAACCAACAATGAAGAAGGTCACAATCGTCGCCTGCTCCCACGAATTCCCCATCGAAATCAGCGATCGAGAGCCCGTCCTCGAGATCAAGCGCAAGATGGAGCAGCTCCTCGGCGTCCCGGTTCCGGCACAGACGCTGTCCATCTTCGGCTGGGAGCTAATCGACGGGCTCGACATGGAAGACTACCCAATCGTCACCCACGGCACCAGAATCGACCTCACCGTCAAACCAATGCTGCCTTGTCATCATCATCCCCTCGCCGCCAGCAAGAAGATCCCCATCACCGTCAAGCTCCCGTCCCGCCACGTCACCACCGTCGAGGTCGACACGTCGGACACCGTCAGAAGCCTCAAGGAGAAGATCCACGTGGTCGCGGCCCCTAGTAGTGGTACTACTCGGATGTCGCTCTTCTACTCAGGGGTGGAGCTGGAGGACGATTTCCGGAACCTGAGCGAGTACGGGGTCCACGAGTTTGCGGAGATAGTGGTGTTTGTTAAGCCCATGGGCCGGCCCAAGGGAGGAGGAGGGGGAATGGGCCGGGAGGCTAGTGGTGGGCCTGGGGATAGGGCTTTGAGGTTGGTAGTGCAGACGGCGTCGTGTTTGCTGAACGGTGCGTCGATTCCGGTGGAGCTGGAGGATTCGAGTACTGTGAGTGATCTGAGGGAGCTTCTGTTGAGGAGTAAGAGCGGGCTTCCTAGGGATGATTACATTTTCATACATAGGCAGAGGATAATGAGGGAGAATTGCAGCTTGAGGTGGCATGGTGTTCAGAATGGTGAGGTTGTTTATGTGTTCAAAGGGACAGTTAGCCGTGCCGGGAATTGAGAAAACAATTAAGATGTGGATTATGATTAAGTATTACTAGATTGAAGCTTGATATGTTAGGCTATTGGATTATGAATAATAAATGCCGTCTTGAGTGACTTAGAAAATATATATATAGCATTTTTAAGGGTTTGTTTCGAATATGATTACATGGCATGATGCTCATACTCAAATCCTAGTAGAATCTTTCGTTATTTTCCTTCTCGCTAAGACGCTAAGTAACCTATTTTTATGACTTGATACTCTCAACCAATAATCATCTTATAATCACACATGATATATAACTAATCCTACTTCCATATAAGACTTGGATAATAAAAGTACTTAACTTCCTAATCTACTAATTAACAAGGCATAGATAATAAAGGGGTAAATTGCAAGTTTGGTCAATAGAAGTAATAAAAAAATTGCGTTTGCTCACTAAAAGTATATTAGTTCATTCGTGGTCACTGGAAGTGGTTAACTATTTCACGTTTCGGCTTTATTAGCACCATCCTCCCCTGTCCACCTCTGCGGCCTCTAACCGGGACCATCCATCGAGCGTCTGCAGCTCCGAAGAAGGCTGGGCAAGGCCGACCAAAACAAAATTAATTGCATGTCTCGGTACCCCATCAACAGTGGTGGCAGATGCTTCAGCTCCATTGTTGGCTTCTGCACCGACTCATGGCCGAATCGTCAGTTAAGATGAGGTGCGGACCATGTCGATGTGAGGGTAGAGCGAAGAGCAGAATTAGAGTTCTTAAGGTAAAAATTGGGGACTCAAATTTCATGGCTAGCGATGACCCAAACAACAACTTTGGAAAACATGTATGACCCTTCTTCTTCTCTACGTCATCCTTGTCTATCTGTCTGCGCTCGAAGTTCTAGCTCTTCGCCGCGTCCGCCGCTTCTTTCCCCCGCTCACGTCGAATCCAATGGAGAATGGAGAATGAGGCGGCCGGGGCAAAGGTTCGTGAATCGGGATCCACGAGTTTGTGATGGGGGCGAAGAGGAAATACTCCGCGAGTTCTTCGTGGTCGATGTTGGACGAAAAGCTTTTGGGTGAAAACGAAGTAGAGCGGGATGGTGGAGTTTGGAGGGAGAGGAGACGGGGCAGTGAATTCCAGTTCTAGTTTTTGGAATCGACGGAGAATTCCAAAACCTCGTGACACGATGGCGGTAATGCTAGGTCATTGATGGGTGGTGGAGGAAAATTAAAAAATGATATCCTTTTATTTTAATAATTGTACTGATGAGATGGAAAATAAAAATTAATTTCTATTATATTTTAATTATGACGTCACTCATTTATCAACTCTGAGAAATTTAACGGAGACTAACGGACAATGATCACACATGAAATGTTTAATCACTTCCAATGACCACGAATGGAATAAAACACTTTTAATGACCAAACGTAAACTTTTTAGCACTTTCAGTGACCAACCTTGCAATTTACCCGATAATAAAGAGAGCATATATTGAATAATGACTCAAGTTCATTAACTAAATTTCGACCTTCCTTTTTGAGTGGGCCTAGAAAACTCAGATTTAAGGGTGGAGAATAAAATACAATTTATTTTCACTAGTTTTCTTAATTGGCTCTTATCTTCTTCGTTCTAACTCGAATTTCAAAAAAAAAATTCCACAGAAGGAACGAGTTCGTTGTGTTCTACAAAATGAAATCCATTTTCAATAATTTAAAAAAAAAATTCATACCTCTCGTCCTTGAAAGATTAGAGGGGAAAAGATTAAAGACTTTTTATAGGAGAGAGAGGGCTACTCATGTGACGGATTTGGATTGGATTATGCATAGTTATGCACCACAAGATTACTGATGGGATCCGCTCTCTTGAATAATTAGAAAAATCCTAAGTATGAATGATTCGGGTCCAAATGTACACATTTTACCCCTCATTTCTTGTCCGTTATGCTTAGTAGATCACCGTCCCCCGATCTATTTTACGCTAGGTTGTGTTTGTTTTGTTACATTTAGGTCCTAATACGTGCGGGAAGGTCGAGGACGAGTTTCGGGTCAATTGGAGGTCGAAAAGCACGAAAAGGTGAAAAAATGCACAAAGAGCGACCGTGACAATTGCTCTGTGACCTTGAACTGGCTGGGTTCCAGAGCCATTCCAGAGGTTATTGACGCCAAGTCAGTTCACGGTCGTAAGACCGTGAACTTCAGCTCCAGACTGTGAAGTGTTGTAGTGAAACGACGCGTATTGGTTCGAGTTCACGGTCCAGGCTTTGAGTTCACGGTCGTGAACTCGGACCGTAAACAACCTTCGATCTGGGAATAAAAGGCAGCAGCGGAAGGAAGAAAAGAGGGAGCTGGTTTTTGGAGAGGGATTCGATTCTCTCTCTAGGGTTTCAACCAAAAACACCAAAGGGGAGTTCTAGTGAGAGAGAGAGAGAGAGAGAGAGAGAGAGAGAGAGTGCTTGAGTGATCTTGGAGCTTAATTGGAGGCTTGTATTGATCTTGAAGACAAGGATTCAAGCCTAGAAGAAGAAGAATAATAAGATTTTGGGCTCCAATTTGTAATTTCTCTCTTCTCTCTCTAGAAACTCACCCTCTTCTCTTGGTTTAAGAACCCTAGGTTTATATTTGGGTTTAATATTGATGTATGTGACACATTCCATGGTTGATTGATGATTTACTTAATTGATGGATGTTTTCATGAATGACATGAGTTGGGTTTCCATTTTCATGTATTGAGCTTTTGACCTAGGAGGGAGAAAATCCCCATAGAGCCCATTATTGGCATCCTCGGGTCACTCCTCACCCTATATCGTCTGGATAATCCCCGAGGGAGTCGATTCCATCAATATCCTACGATATAGGGTTGCTCTAGGTTAAATAGAGCCTACCACATTCATCGATTCGTCGTTACAGGTCATTCCCGATGGAGTCTATCTCCTAACGGTAAAGTAATTACCCAATTGAGACTTCTCATGGAGCAGAGCCATGCTACACTCCATGGGCATATCCGAACAAACAATTGAGACTTCTCGTGGAGCAGATTGTTCTAGACAATGAGAGATCTTTTCCCAAGATGGACCTTCTAATCCAATCCATCGGTCCTCGTGACCCTTCCTTTCTCCCTGAAAAGGAGGAGACTGTTCCGCACTCTGCAAAGCAAATAGAGTGGGTTGAGCAAGTTTGTGCACAGCTTGCTCAAGATCACCTTTCTACTACCATAGAAGAAGATGAGGAGGATGAAGGAGGCTACAAGGACATTGTGGAGCATACAGAAGTTGTCACGGAGAGCTTCCGTGATGATCATGATCATGAATGTCTTGTTGTAGCCGACCACACCTTTCCACATCCCACATCAAGCTTTGAAGAGTCGGGCATGAGTGAGGAGATGCAAGATTATCTCATCGCACAAATTGATTAGCAACTTGCTCTCCAATCCATGCTATCAAAAGAAGAGCAGGAAAGGGTGAGGAAAGAAGTTGAGGAGGATGACAGAAGAGAAGCAAATGGGGTTCTTGATCTTTTCCAAGGGGAGAGACCACATTCGGAAGAAGCAAGGGGGTTTGAGGAAGCAATTGGCGTCCAGGCTGAGGACAAAGTTGAGGTGGAAGAGGCTTGCACTGGCCATGAGTTACATGTGATATCTCCACCAAACTTCGAATAGTTGCTAGGCAAGGACGCATTTGCAGTGTCTCTTTGTCATACCAAGGCCACACCAACATCCATCCTTCTTGGTGGATGCGATGGTGGTCAATCGATGTTTTCCTACATGGTTTGGGCCTTGGGGCAATGTGACAAGATAAGAAAAGCAGAAGAGGTCTCGAGTGTGGAGACTTAATCTGACTCAAGTACACGTTCCTACCCCACTTTATGCACCACATGCTCGTGACTTGAGAATCCACCTCATCGACGAGAACCTCAACTTCAAAGAGGTTTTGGGGTGGACCAAAACCTAGGACCACCGTTCAGCTCAAGATGTGAAAGAAGCCCTTGTTGGGAGGCAACCCAACCAGTCGGTTTGCAGTTCTTTCCTTATCTCTTTTCTGTTGACTCAATTTTGTTCTTTGATTTTAGAGTCAATAACTCAACCTTTGTGAGATTTTGTGTGGTGTTTGTGACTGCTCTCTCTCCTCCTGGAATGCACCACCTGCCCCGTCCACCATCGTTCACACTTGAACTGGTAACTTTGTTCTACCCTCCTTATCTTTCCTCCATCGAGGACAATGTCGTGCTTAAGTGTGGGGGTGTTCGATTATGTATGCGTGTGAATGTTTGGTTGTATGTGTGTGCTTGGAGTATGTGTTCCCTGCAATTTCCTGCTTACAATGCTTTGAATTGACAGTCTTTATAGTATTATACAACCTAGGGAGGTAGTGTAGCACTATGGAGGATGTTGATGCATTAAGAAGTCTCCTTTCTTCTTCATATTGTGTTGGTTGATTGTGTGAATTAGTGATCTTAGGACACTTGAATCATGTGGTGTCGCTGACTCTCTACCTCTCGTGGACTCTTGTATCATGTTTTGAAAAAGGTGCTCTAAACTGTGCTTTCAAAATAATGTCTCCCATGTGGAAATCGGTGAAAGTGTGTGTAAGGGGAGACGGACAATCGTTCCCAACTTCCACCTACTACCTACAGCCCCCTTACACCTCTTTCTCCCGCATGAGGCTTGAGACATATGCTCCTGGCATGGTCGGTAAGATCCGTTCTTGCCATGGCCGGTCAGAACAAGGCTCCCTCAAAACGTTTGCTAGGTGGGAGCCCCATTTTCTGAAAATGACAAGTTGAAACCTTGCAAGTAAAAAAATAAAAATAAAAAATAAACAAGAAAATGAAAGGGGAAAAAAGGGTTCGTACCATCTTCAAAAAAAAAAGAGCACCTCAAAAGTTGAGTCCATGACTTTCTATTTATTAGAGTCACTTTATCCACGAATTATTTATCCTAAGACAACTACTTGGCATGATCCCGACTCAGGTCTAGAGTTCTCGCCGAAGAAGCTAGTAGGTGTCTTGTGTATTGGTTGACCTCTTAAGATGCTAAATGACCTAGGAATTTCTCGATCGACGATCGGGGTTGCATGTTTCTGTAAAATTTTGGAGAGTTGCATTTGTTTGAGTCAGGTTTGCTTTGGGGAAAGCAAACGGTTAAGTATGGGGGAATTTGATAACACTGGATTTGCACATGTTTTTTCCCCTCATTCTTGATTGTTTAGCTTGATTTTTATCATACTTTGGCCTTTTTTACGCTAGGTTGTGTTCCTTTTATCACATTTCAGATCCTATCGCGTAAAGGGAAGCATAGGTGCAAGTTTCAAGTCAATCGGAGATCAATTGGCGATTCAGGAGAAGAAACTCGGGCATGACCTAAAGAAGAATGGATTTCTATCTTATTTTACATACAAATAATCATGTAAGCTTGTTGTTAAAAGAAATAGGATGAGACTACGACTGTCTGGGATCAAACGGCGACTGATTTGAAGGTCAGACGATGGAGAAACGAAGAACCAATGACAGTGTTGAGGAAGAAACGCGGACAGGAGAAACACGGTCGTATTTTTCCCTCCTGTGCCCGTGTTTTTAGTGCCGAGAAGGAACACGGGCTGAGAAACACGACCGTGTTTCTACCCCCTGCTTGGGTATAAGTTTGTTTTAGAGGAAGAGCGGGGTTTTGGTTTCCAAACACCCAAGGGACGAACCCTAGAGAGATAGAGCGACTTGGGAACATTCTTGGAGCTATTTTGAAGGATTTCTTCACCATTGGAGCTCAGGAATCAAGCTTGGAGATGGTGATTGAAGATCTAGATCAGATTTCTGCATTCTCTCTCTTATGGAGTAACTTCCCTTCACTTAGGTTTTGAGGAACCCTAGCTCCATGTGTTAGAATATTTCTTGTATGAACATTTGGATGCTATATTGTTTGATTATAATCAATTGAGGCATGATTATTGAGTCAATTGAATCCTGATCAAATTCTCTTGATTTCTGCTTGAACCTTTGATAGATAGAATCTTATTAGATTAAGAGAGCTTCCTTGATTGATAGTAGTGAATTGATTGTACAAGAGTCAGTTAATTCACTGCTTTGTACTGGAAGTCGTTCCACGTAGTCGAGATCTGTGTGAATCACCTTAGCATTCTATCCCGGTGAAGGCTAGTCACCTACCGGATAATCTGTCTAAGAGGGCTTGGTCAGCTTAAGAGATTTCAAGCTATTTCCGGATCTTGCGCAGTCTAATCTACAGTAAAACGACCAAAGAAAATTACAACTTTGACCTAATTGAGAAGCTAGGGGGAATCATACATGAGTGATTTCCCAACTTGTAATTAGATTAACTTTAATTGTAGTTTCTAGAGTAGTTATAGGTCTTCTATCTTTATCTGGTTTGCCAGATAATGAACTGAAACTGAGTAATAGTAACTCTAGAGACCGTGGATTCGATATTTATTAGTTGTGACACTATACTGCAGTCCCTTTCATTGATTACACTTGGCCATCGTTAGGAGTTGGGTTTTAGCGAGTCACATGTACAAGCGCCATGCACCATGGATCGGGTCGTTGCCCCGAACCCTCGACGGGGGAACCTTGCTCCCCCGAGCTCTCTAATCTGGCACTTCACCTTTAGACCCTGATTTGTTTACCGGGCAGCGAGATCCCCAACACTTCTAGTTGACTACAGTTAATCCGATTCAAGTCATATCAACAAATTAATAGATCGGATCCATCATAAACTCCATAGTCATCCAAAGGTAGACATGTGATTAGCAAGTTTCTTTCGATTCTTAGAATGCATTAGTTAGCACATATTTGTGGTAAATTTTTTTATTTTGTAGAAAAGGGGACGCTAAAAGGGTACCCACAAAAGTAATCCCCTACCTGCTACTTAAATAAAAATATCTTGGACGATGTTCACAATGTCATACATGATCCAAAAATTTATACCCAAATATGAGATATCAAAAGAATGAATTCCTAGGTTAAAGAGTGTGCCTTGTTGGCTAAGTAATTTGTTTGCTGCTTTATTGCACTCACGAGTGAGATTGTAATAGAGTTTGCTCCGGTTGTCAAGATAGCAATAGCCGTAGCAGAGTCCAACCTACGGAGAAGTTTCTTGTGACCTTGGCTCCACACCATTTGAGATGATAATCATTGGTAATTAACAAATTTGTAAGTGATGACAATATTTTTATTTGTTCAAATCTTCAATTAACAAATGTGTAAGTCACAACGAACAATCGTAGGAGTCACGATTAGATACTACTAGATATTTTTATACGCGGAAAAATCGATCTTGCAATGGTAAATCACGACCTCCATAGATACCCAACAAATCATGTAAGCATTTAAAACGAGCTTTACAGCCCTGTTGGTGGTCACTGCCAAAGATCGAATCAAGAACCTTCTTGGCACAAACCTTCGCCTTTACTATGGTGTACTGCATTAAACTTAAATTATGAATAAGTGACTTACAACTTCAACAACTCTGCTTATTATAAAAACAACAATTGAAAAAAAGGCTATCGCTAGCTAACTCAAAAGAAGGCCTCAGGCCAAGTGAAAATAAAGTCACGGGAGGAGCCGTCATCTATGGGCTTGAAGAAAAGATAAACGCGGGAACCATCATCATCAACCCCACATTCAGCCATAGTCAAATCCTCCTCATCATCTGATATACAACGACCATCTCCAAGCAGCAGGATCATGCGATCAAAGGGCAGCTTCTGCTGGGCTGCGATTGCACGTTTGAGATCGACAATTCTGGCATTGTCTTTGTCTTCTACGTTAACATGGAAGAGACTTCCTGTCATTATCTCGACTGCCACCATCATTTAATGTTGTACGAGGTAAAAGGGTTTGGAACTAAAGCAAGCATTTATATATATGTACGTGCAGCTTCATTCCTCTTCTGCTGTGACGCGGAACTCAGAAAAGGAAAATTCAGGTCTTTCTTTATTAGTGTTTTATTATTTTTCCTGTTTGTTTTTTCAGCTGGCAGCTTCCATTTACCACTAGGTTTTCTTTCCCTTCTTGGATTTGTTCTTTGCTCGCTTACGAGTTGAAATTATTCATAAATACAGAAGCTTTTGTTGTTCTCTTAGCATTGATCTCACGGGAAAGAGTAAGAGGCGTAGAGATTGGTGATATCTGAAACCGAAATTTACTGATAATAATTCATCTTGCATGTATAACCATGATAGTAGGATCTTGAACTAATTAACAAACTTACTCTGGCTGTCATTTTTTTTTTATGCAACGTGATTGTTGTGCGATTAATTTGGATTTGTTGGAGATTGTTGTGTTTATTGACTGTTTCTTCGGCAAGAGAAAACGGAACACAGATGCAAATATATTTATGACGTGTATATTTAACTTATTGTCATCTTCACTCATAAAAGAAGAGAAAAGGTTGTGTCGAAAAAATAAAGAAGAAACAATGAGCACAATAATATCGATGATAGACCTAAATTAATCGCACAATAATCAAATTTCAAGGTTAAATAATATTCAAGATCCAATTTTCATGATTGTTCTACGATCGAATTCCCATGTATGAAAAAAAAAAACATGTTTTGGTCGCCAAGAACATTATAATTTGCCGCCAATTTAAAAATAAATATTTTTTATATATACGTCGTCGATAGAGGAGTTTCACGACCTACAACAAATATCAAACTTTCAAAAAACTTGTTCAATCTTCATAAACCGAAGCTCGCCGGATAACTCATCGAAGAAACGGTACCTCCCCCAGGGGTGTAGCCAGGATTTTGTCGAGGGTGAGTCCATTTAGAAAAGAATACATACGATAAAATAGTTTTGTTACCGTTTTAAATATTTCATGATATAATTTGTATTTACAAAAACTTGTAAATTAAATATATGTCTAAACTATCAAGAAGACACTCTATATGTATCAAACGATTGTTAATGATTTAGTTAGACATTTGCTTTTGAATGGTGTTCTTTGTCAAGACCGTTTAGTATCAAGAACTCGAGTTGTTAGAACAGATTTAATAATGGACTTATACTATTTAGTATTTATTAACACTACCCTGCTAATGAAAACCAACTTATACATGCTTCAATTTTTCGCAATCCAAATATTATGTGCTTATTAAATGGGATCACCAATATTTGAACACATGATCTCATATCATTGATCTCTCAACCATTCTCAATTGAAAGTGCCCTAAATTCATTCCCAATTAACTATTATACTAATTTACTATTTTTTGTCCTTAGGAGCCACCCATTACACTCCCACTCCCCCTAGCCCTGATTAAAATAAAAATATTTTACAAATTAGCTATGATTTGGTGGAAATTTGTTCTAGGTATTGCACAAATACATCATTACTTTTACGTGGATCATATGCACCATTGTTATTTGTACATAGTTCATTATAAAAACATTGAATATGTTAATACACAACTTATAAATCATACATCAAAGATTTGAAAGGTCAATCATTTTCATTTAGATACGTGCTATTTTTCATACCCGATTAACTATTATAAATAATTTACTATGTTCCCTCCCGAGTCTGGATGGGTCACGGAACCCTACCTCTACCCCTCTCCCTCCGCCCCTGACCTCGCCGTAAACTGTGCACATCCAGTCTCGCAATCATCACTAAGTAGATATTTTTAATTTATGGAATTTTGAGCAATTTTTCCGGCGAGATTCGAGGGACAGACGGCGGGTCAGAAGAATCTGGCGGCCGAAACCTGGCCGAGCCGAAAGGAAATGACGGCACAAACCCGGTCAGGCCGGCGGAAAAATTCGGTCGGCGTTAGGCCAGGCCGGAGCTTTCCTTTGGCTCTGCCAGGTTCCAACCGCTAGAATCTTTCGGCCCGACACCGGTCGTCGAAATCTTTCGGTAGAGTAGCCAATTTAGAGTTTAGGAGTTTAATTACAGTTTAGGAGTTGAATTTAGGGTGTTAGGGGTTGAATTTAGGGTTTCGTAGTTGAATTTAAGGATTAGGGTTTAGCTTCACCTTAAATTGATGTGTTATATTGTAATTGTATGAAAAATGTCAGAATGGTTCGACTCCGAGACTGATTACACACAGTACTTTGAGACTGGCAACCATTATGGAACTTTGGAGTCAATTGAGAATCATGCAAAAGCAATCGCTCAATCGCTTGGGTTCTTTATTATCAGTAGATCATGAAAATCGAATACTGAAGTAGAGCATCATGTAAATGCCCTCTATATTAGGGTGGAAGTTTGGTTTGCAGATTGTGGGTAATTTACAAACTACACTGAACCACACACTTTGTGGGTAACCATATTCACAATTTGTGGATAGTGGGTTGGGTGTGGGTAGCAAAATATTGATTTTTGTGGTTAGTGATTAACCATTATCCATAAAACTCACAATAATCACACTAAGTATATTTATTTATTAATACTACTTTATGATATTAAAGTATGTGAAAAGTAGAATGCTACAAATTAAAGTAGCCTCCAAAATCAAATACGTACTTTTTTATAGAAGAAAACCAAGTCAATACACAGTGTTCGTATGAGATACTTTTATTAAATAAGCATTGTTTTCATGATACGTGTTTATTTTAAAACAAAACCAAGTCAATAAATTTGGTTTATATTTATTTAACACTTTATTAACTTTCTTTTATGTAGGTCTCATTTTTTTGTAAGAAGACGTTAATTCTGCAGTTCAGGGAGAGAATTCCATTTATCCCTAAAAAATTTGAATAAAAACCAAAGGAGTCATGCCGCTGATAAATATGCTATGTGTATTTAGAATAGATCCCCCTCCAACCCATACTCATTATCAATTTGGATTTCGTAAAGAAAGTGAAGTGAACCGAGGAGAGGGAGGTTGACTACTTAGAAAGGTCCGAATACTAGATCCTCACTCGTTCCGTGTCTTGGGCTTCTTTAACTTAGTTTTAACTCAACGTGTGTGTTTTTCCGTCACTCGACCGATAGGTTTATCATATACGAGTCCGAAGGGCGAAGGAACGAAATTTTTGTGGGTATCCACATCCAACCAGCACTAACCCGCAGTGGATAGTGGTTAACCACTTCCCACTGTGGTGCAGGCTGTGAGTAGCATAATTCTATATTTTTGGGTGTGGTTAACCGTAAAATATAGGGCGGGTAACCACACTCACCCCAATTTCCACCCATATATATGTACTAGTTTGGACCCTACCCGTTGGCCGGAGTAGCTATGAGTGAATGGTGAGTCTAATCACTTCTTCTACGGTATCTAATTACCCTTTAGTAATTTCTTTTGAGAACTCTAGCATCAATCCATTCCCTACTGATCAATAGTCTCGTTTAGTTAACTTGAACACAAAGTTCTCAAACTCGTACACATGTTGCTCATGTAGTTGGCGATCAAATTGGTTGATTAATATGAAATTTTACGTCAACAGAAATGGAGCCAAATTTATAAATTATTCATGGACATGTATCTATCCAATTGAATATTTGACGAAGTAATCACTTAGGAAAAAATTTCATAAATTAAAATTGGCATGTTTTAACTTTTAACACCGTTCGTACTTTTAGAATTTGTTGCCATTTGGAAAACTGGCAAAGTAACTCCAAGTAAGTAGGAAAAGATTCCATTTGTAAAGCACATAATCACTTGCAAGTTTGAAAATTCAAATGCACTAAGTCTATATAATCATAACTGGGAAAGAATGATGAACGGGAAAATAAATACACAATCACATATCCAATCTATGATCCAGGCTTATAATATCAACATTGCAAAGGAGTTGAATGGTTTTCTGCTAACAGACACCATTTCACTCATAGCTACTCTCCGCTTAAATTGTTCGATTGAGCAGCCAGCCCGGCGAGCATCCTTCCAGCGTCGAGATTCGTCGACAGCTAGCTTGAGAATCCTTTAGTCGCGATATCGAAAATCTCGAGCCGTGAATGTAAACCCATCTCCAACGGCAATTCCCCGGTGAAGTTGTTGGTGAATATCTTGATACTCTCCGGAACATTGAATCGAGAACAAAAAACTTTAATTAAATATTTGTATCATAACACTTTTTAATATAGTAAATTTTCTAAGCTCTACTATGGAATTCACGAAAGAAACTCGACTATGGATTCATGCTGAAATTCTTTTGTTCGCAGCAGGTTATAGAGAAAGGTTAGATGGAGTTAGTAGTTTCAATTTTCAAGTCTAGTGACTACATATCAGGGCATACATTTGAATAGATGATAGTACACACTTGTAAACCTTGAGAGGGGCTTGGTTTAAGCTAACACCCTAGAGGTTCACTGCAATTTTGATGATTACCCATAAAAAAATGTTTTCCAGTTATGCTACTTGTTATTCAGTTTTTTGTATTTGAAGTTCATTGACCAAATTACTTATGATTCAAAGAAATGGAAAATTAATTATAGAAATTGGAACTTCCCCCATATTTCATGCTTATACATATTTGAATGAATAAATAAATATGCCAATACAAACTAAATAAATTCATTCAATACATAATTGTGACAACCTACATTGGGTGCAACAAAACCAGAAAGGAAATTTCCAAAAAATACCATAAGATCATTAACCACAAAGTCCATCTCCATGGCGCAACAAACTTGCACTCTAAATGCTTACGCCCCATTGAAATTGTTCCAAGTCAAGACCAGAACGATGCAATTCACACGTAAGTTGAGTTATATATCACTATACCTCCAGGCTCCAAATCCATTGTTCCAAGTACCCTGGTTGCTATATCAAAGTAGACCAGCTACAAACTTCAGAAGCAAAGCAGATGGATAAACAACAAATCCCTAGCTACAAACAAAACTAAAGTATATAATATATACTGC